AAAAAATAAAAAAAGAAAAAAAAATGATAAGCTGTATCATACATAATATATATATCTGTGTGTGTATGTGTATACACACACATATAAATGTAAATAAATATATATCTGAAAGAATAGTCAATTTAATAATTGTATCATGAAGGCTATTATTTTAGCTAAGGTTCTGCCTTACTTTAAAAAGCAAATATATTAAAATATTACAGAGGTTACCTTATTTCTGCTCTTAAATTCAAATATATCAACAAAGAACTATAAAGTGTGATGATTTTTATACTTAAAACAAAGAACAATATGTATGAGAAAGAGTTAAGCTCACATTACAAAATTCTCATCAATTATTTGCTAATGTACATCTGTTACAAATAGTAATGAATTATTTCCTTTCATGAATAAATAAATATGATGGTTTACAGGAAAGGTAAGTGTAGGAAGTAATATAAAATTTGGCCATAAATTGTCTAAATTTCTATATTAAGATGGTAAACTAGATTTCTTTTTCAATCAGACTTCCACCATTCCATTAGAAAAAGATGAATACTTGCCATCAAAACTAATACTTGCAACCTTGGTGTATTTACTTTCTGAAGCTTTTAATGTAATTGGTTTAAAGTGTACTGTTACAGCATCATTTTGTGGGATAGGTCGAACACTCTGCCGAGAGAAAAAAAGACAAAATATTATGTTAGTCTAATATTTCAGTAGATTGAATACTCTGCTGAGAAAAAAAAACACAAAGCTATAACCTTCTATTAGTCTATAGTTCAGTAGGTCCAACACTCTGCAGAGAGAAAATATACAGATGTAGCATGATTTTAGTCTAATAGTTCAGTTGCATGATGGTAACAAACATTTGAAAAGTTTAACTTGTAGGTTTTTTAACATGGAATCAACGAAACTGAAAAACTTATAAGCAATTCTATAAAACATCTTTATGAAACAAAATAATGACCTGGGTATAAATTATAACAAATGAATGAGTTTAAGAATCTAAACTCAAATTAGTACACTGGGGACGAGTACATAAAACATTTTAAAAAGCTGTTTCTTTTCCAAAGGAATGCCTTAATTCACACATAAGAGAAAGATCTATGATAGATCTCAACAAAACTGACAGTATTTAAGCACACAGACTTTGTAAAGCGTGAGCACGCCTTGGGAGCCCTACAACAGGAAGTATGCAGGCTCCGCCTCCTTGACCTTTCTTACTTCTCTAGGGCTCTGCTATGGGAGTCAGTTCTGCTGCTGTCAGGGGCTGAGGAGGCCGGAGGGCTGCAGAACAGTCTGGAAGTAGTTACAATGCTTTCAACTCAGAAAGGGCAAGTCCTCTATCCAAACAATTAAATATAAAATAACTGAAAAGAGTGAAAACTTACACTGTTAGAGAAAATTTAAAAAAAAAAATCATTTTAAGATGCAAAAACTAATGCCAAGTTGATACTGTTTTATGATGACCCTCTAAGATTGATTTTATAAAACATAATGCCTGAGAATGATTGTATGAAACCCAATATAAATGAAGAATAGTGTGAAACACAATGTATATGAACTTTGTGAGCAAACCAATACTTAAAAAAGATAGAAAAGAACAAGCCCGTGGTGTTTCCAAAGCTGTAAATCTTTATGGCAGCCTATTAGGTAAGGCATGTGGAAATTATTGAACAGTATCTTTAATATCACATGCAAACAAGATCCTGCTGAAGATTATCCAAAAATGACAGGAACAGCACATCAACAGAGAACTGCCAGATACGCAGGCAGGGTTTCGAAGAGGCCATGGCATTACGGACACTACAGCCAAAGTTGGATGGATCTTATCTGAAAGCAGAGAGTACCAGAGGAATGTGTATCTATGTTTCATCGACTATGCAAAGGCATTTGACTGTGTGGATCACAACAAATTATGGCTAATTTTGAGAAGAATGGGAATCCCAGAGCACTTGACTGTGCTTATGTGAAATCTATACTTGGACCAGGAAGCAGTAGTCAGAACAGAACAAGGAAACACTGTATGGTTCAACATCAGGAAAACTGTATGCCAAGGATGCATCCTGTTGACATACCTTTTCAATTTACATGTGGAACAGATCATCTTGGAGGCTGGGCTCTATGAGGAGGAGTGTGGCATCAGGATTGGAGAAAGACTCATCAAGAATCTGTGTTATGCAAATGACACAATCTTGCCTGTCAAAACGGAGGAGGACCTGAGGCATTTGTTGCAGAAAGTCAAGGACTGCAGCCTTTAATATAGATTGAAACTCAACATCAAGAAAACTAAGATTCTCACCACTGGGAGGACTGGTGGCATCATGATAGACAGTGAAGAGACTGAGAGAGCTGGACAATGACTAACGATGATAAAAGAAAAATCTATGCCTTTGAGTTGTGGGGCTGAAGAAGAGTATGGACTGTTAAGAGAACATACAGGTCCATCCTAGAAAGGGTGAAACCATGCTACTCCTTGGAAGCAAGGATTCTGAAACTCCATCTTGCATACTCTGGGCATACTGCAAGGAGAGACAAGTCCCTGAAGAAAGACATCATGCTTGGAAGGGTGGAGGGACAGAGCAAGACAGGAAGACCCTGGATGAGATGGACTGACTCAGTGACTGGGGTAATGGGGGTAGGTGTGTCAAAGACAATGAAATTGGCTCATAGTAGGGTTCAGAGCTGTTGTACACAAGGTTAAGATGAGTCACAAGTGACTTGATGGCACAAAGCAACAACAAGAAGTGGTAAGGAGCTGTGCTGTCAACCCAATGACACTAAGTCTAAATCCAATACCTGGTCTGAGAGAGAAAATGGGCAATCTCCTTGCACTGGATTTACAAACTCTGAAATCCAAATCTCTGGAAGATCAGCTATGAGTTGGTTCTGACTTGACAACACTTAACATCAACCAAAAAAATCTTTGAGAGAAGACTGCATCATCCTTCTCTCTCCAAACAGATGGTGGTGGGTTCACATTTACAACCTTGAATTAGCATACCAATGCTAGGCCTCCTCATCCAGCAGGGCTGCACTGTAAGGGATAGTTTTCACTGGTGATCCTCACAGATACAAAAAAACTTTTAAATTGGGAGTGACTGTGTAGATCTCAGTCCATTCCCTGTTGAGTGGAGTTTCACTTAAAGTGAAGACAAGAAGCTTTGTAGTGGGCCGGTATCTTCCACTTGGCTTTTTACTATACAAACATGTGGGTAAATCTTGATGAACAATAACTGTTCCATGTTTTGTTGTGTGCCATCGAGTCATCTGAGACTCACAGAGACCCTATGTACAACAGCTCTGAACCCTGTCCTGTCCTGAACCAGTCTCACTGCCTCCAACACACTTACTCCCATCATCCCAATCACTGTGTCAATCTATCTCACTGGGTTCTTCTTCTCCTGCTCTGTCCTTCCACCCTTCTAAGCATGATGTCCTTTATATTGGTTTGCTTACAAAAATTGGTTACACTGTGTTTCACATTATCCTTCATTCACACTGTGTTTCATACAATCATTCCCATTCACTATGCTTTGTAAAATTAATCACTACCTTCTGGGTTTTTGTTAAATTTCCAGGGGCAATATGAATTCCTATAAGCTCTGTCAGAATAGCAGTTAAAATGTATGTAGAAAGAGACTTACAGAATAGCAGTTACAATGTATGAATAGAATAGCCTCTTTCGTTCTGTATTTGGGATTAAAAAGTTATGCTGTTAATCCAAAGGAGAGGCAACTTTCTAATGGTATACATGCACAAGTGGTTCATAAAGTTCTCTGTCCTGACTTGGTGAATGGCATTTCAAGTCTTAAAAGTTTGTGAACAGCCATCTAAGATACAGCTATTGATCTTTATTTACCTGGGTTGAAAGAGGAAGAGAAAGAAGGGAATTAAGACTCAGAAAAGAAAGAAAAAAAATCTTTACGTTCACGGTCACCAAAGCCTGATTCACTAGAAGAAGTGGAGAGTTCAGAATGAGCAAAAAAAGAACATCAAAATGCAAATACCTAGAGAAGTCACACTTACTGGACCAGTTAAAATGACAGGAACAACTCCCCCCCCAAGACTAACTTGGAAATGAAGTAACTTCCAAAAGTTATCTTTTAGTCTAGTAAGAGATTGACTCATAAATAGACACTATCATGTGAGTATAATACTCCTATAAATAATCATCTGTGTGAGATCAAGTTGTCAACGCTTACCCTAAAACAAAGATCAGAAGGTACAGGGTAGCTAGATCAATGGAAAAACCAACGAAATGGAATGTAGACACACTGCGAAGATCACTGAACTATATATGTTACTGCTGTTGTTAGGCGCCATGGAGTACAACTCATAGCAACCTTATGACCAACAGATCTGAACCTTGCTCAATCCTGTATCATCCTCCCCATCTCTGATACTCTTGAGCCCATTTCCACAGTTACTGTGTTGAGGGTCTTCCCTCTTTCACTGACCCTCCACCTGCTCAAGCATCACGTCTCTCTCCAGAACAGGCAGCATGCCAAAAGTATATGTGACAAAGCTTCACCTTCCTTGACTCCAGGGAGCGCTCTTGTACCTTTCTTAAGACTGTTAAAGAAGAACCTAATTTTTTTTTCTCTTGAAATACAGAACTTTATTTAGAAACTGTTTAAAGCAGAAAAAAACCCTGTCAAGAAAGACCAGGTGGAAAATGAGTTCCCAATAAATTGGAATTTTAGGGCAACAAAAGTCTAAAGGGCCACAAAAGAGAAATAGCACCACTGTCATTTGAACAATGGCTAATTACTTGTATTTTTTCTTCTTTTTTTTTTGGCATTGTTAATCACTGAATCTGTTGTTTTCCTCTGAATTCCACACAGAACATGCACTACACAACAATTTTATCATAAAATACCTGTGTTTTCTACACACATTTTAGGACAAGCTAATACCAGAAACAAATCCATACAAACACATCGGGGCTGAACAATCTCAGTAGTGGGTGACACACATTTTGAAGAATTCTGCCAAACAAAGGGCTGGACAGGCCGTGGGCAAAGCATTTGAGGGAAAGTTAAGGAATGAAATTGTTTAAATATTAATAATTAAATCAGACATGGTATTGTATTTTCTGCAAAAAGAAAATGAACATTTAGTAACACGCTAACGAATTTTATCTCCAAAGAGATTAGTGCACTGGCAAAGTGTTCCGATAACAGTGGAAGGCTGTGTACAGCAGGGACCGAAGACACCCAAGCCCTGCAGATCCCAAGGTAGGGACAGCCTTCACTGTTCACTCCCATTGCCAGAGGTCCAGAAAGAACTTGCAGCATCATCATCACTCTAAGAAGAAAATGCTAAGAAGCCAACAAAGAGGAATTCCCAGTGGGCAAGGGAGTAGAGAAGGGAAAAAAAAGGTTACATGTAAACTTTAAGAAACAGTAAAATGGGACACAGCCCCCCACTTAAATCCCAGAGAAGTGGGCAAGTTCCCCAAGCAGGTGTTAAGACTGACAAACTAGACACACCATTCCCAAAATACACAATACACAAGTAGTTTGGGAAATAATTGGGAAAATCTTGAGAAAAGAAAGCTCCCTGAAAATAGGCGTTTTCTAACATCTCAGGGCTGAAACACATTCTCTATTCATGTGGGCAACAATCTCTCTTCATTTTTTTTTTTTTTAATCAAGGATGCAACT